TTGTCTATTTTTTCCTTCACGTTCCCAGTGGAACATAGGGCTTCAAGCTAGTGGCTTGAAGTTTCTGTAGCGGTGTTTATTTTACAGGATGGGGTTGCTAGCCTCATGCTCAACCTTTCCTCTTTACCAGCATTATTTCTGGCTTAGCGAGGTAATGGAGTGCGTCGGTGGCCAGGGGTCGAACCCCGGACCACGTGCATGGTCGGCGAGCGTCTAAACCGCTGTGCCACCGACGCATCCTACTATATGGTTGTGTGTTATTGCCTGTAGTGCTACAACAGGTAAAGTATTTTCTTGAATACCTTTGGAAACAAAAATAACGTGAACTAGGCGACACGCCTGATTTTGACCTCGTCAGAATTATGTAATTACACTGAGATAGGCCATTCTCATTGTCTACAATATCAAAGAATACACAAAGTGTTAATATTTCGTTATCTGTAAAAGTCACATCATTAATCTTCATATTCTTCTATCTTAATCATTCAATTAGAAATACAAGTTTATCTTTGTTCTCATTTCTAGTTTTTTTTAAACTTTCCAAAATCAATAGTTCATATAATGATTGTTTGCAAACATTGGACTCACACGAGAAATCGGTGGAAGTCTTTCTATCAGACTCTCAGTACACTCTTTATTTACAGTTATCCTGTTACATCTGTTCAGGTTGGATCACAATGAATTATAATAGACTTTATGCCTACATAATTAAATATAAAAATTCAACACCACCATATTTGGTATGTATCATATCATTTGATGGAAAAACACTAAGCTGTAGACATATGACTACTAACTTTCTGTGAAACAGTAGTAAATAAACGCCTCTTTCCATTCTTCCTATCAGTAATTCATTATTGTAATCACTTTCCAAAACATTAGTTCATTTGATCAGATTAATGTATAACATCTTGTACGTGTTACAATGTAGGTGATTATTAGGTGTTGTGTGAGACTACATTAAATTCCTCACTAGTATTTATTCTTTTATTCAGTTACACAAATAGGCAACTGTTTACTTTATTATATATGTGTAAAACTTTGACATAGTGGAAGTATGTAATTCCCTATGAATTTTCATTACTGAATGATGTTTTTCTCACTCAATTTTCATAGTTCCCGTTCTTGTTTCTTATTTGTCGTGAGCTCAGTAGAATCTTCCAAATATATCCAGGATAGGCGTTTAATCATTCTTTTTATGCTTGTATTCTCAGTTGATTTGCTAAATAAAGTTTCGATTAAGTCAACCATATCCTACTTAGCTCGTGTTCTGTGCGATAAAAAAAAGCATTAGGCGTGATACCTATAACTTATTAAATAGTCAGTAGAACAGTTCGATCTCGTCTTTCCAACTCACATCATTTATAGGTACAACGTTTTCCTTTCTTTCTTTTCCTTTTCTCTCTCTTTTTTCTTTTATGTGCTGCTTTATTTCTTTCTTCCTGACTAACTCTAATTAAAACATTCTTCTTCATTCTCTCACACTGTGTATATCTCGACCTTTTGTTACCGCTTACGTCAGTAAATATGGTAGCATCTACTTTTCTAACACCTTCAAACATTTTGTTCACTTTTGGCTTTGCTACTGACATGGTTATATGCTGTTGTCATAATGAACTGAGATTACCTTAGTCTATGTAGAATTTTATTTATTGATAATGTACTAACTGGATGCAGTACTCTAGTAGAATGCTGAGAATTCCATTCTGTATCACAAGTACTGTTTTGGAATAAACCAAATTATTATTATTACTAAAACTTACTTTTCTAATCGGTTACATTAGATTTCAATACTGTCATTTTGTTCCATTCTAATGTGTCGTATCAGAAGTTTGGATTAATGGAACCCAATGACTGAATGATAATTTCCTTCTTTTATATCAGATGCTACTGTGAGATTATCGATGTTATTCAGTTTTTATTATTATGATTAAAAACACAAGCATAGTACAGGATTTCATCATGAGGTGACATTAGTTAGAGAACCATAGGAAAATCTGGCAGTACTGGACAGCTGTTTCGTCCAATTGGATCGGGTCCCAGTGGCTTAATGGTCTACGAGCTCGCTAGCCTTGTAACCAGAAGGTCTTGGGTTCGAGTCCCGGTGGGTGCGTACTGCTGAAAAGTCCCAAACTAGGACGAAACAGCTGTCCAGTACTCCCAGGTTTTCCAATGGTTCCCTAACTAATTTCGGCTCATGATGAAATCCTGTAACCAATCAAATCCCTACAAACCAACACTTGAATAACAAACTTAGTACACTTGGCGCACAAAAAATAACAGTACACGAGGAAAATAGGCATAAAATTAAATGAGGGATATTATCAAGATAGCAAGGATTATTCAATACTTTATAGCACTTTCAGAAAGGGAAGAAGAAAAGGGAATTAAAGCATGTTCGTCATTGATTACGGTTATTGATCATATCTGTGACAACGTAACGAGTCACTGATTCGAATTATTTCTCCAACTTTACCACTCAGGAGTCATGATGCACTAACAAATGCTAATCCATTACAAATATCCTTCATCCAAAGTCATTAGCTGACCACCCGTCTACTTTTTCATTCATCTCTATGGCTAGCGAACTACGAGCTATATGAAAGCCTCTCAGATGACATTCGAAACACTTGTCTAAACCACCGAAGCCAGTGTTCTAAGATGGCCACACTTAAAGAAAGGTAACCTCCACCGTGTCTAAACTACACGCTACCGGACTTTGGAAGTACTTACGCGATGATGCCATCAGATGCAAGCAGTTCTACGGAGGTAGCGATGATCGAATAGGCACGAATTATGAAAGGACAATGACTGTTTAGTGTTGATTCACTGATAAAAATGGTTGTTACGTTTACCGCTACCTAGTTTGTTCACACCCTGAACCTTAGCGCGCCCTCTGTGACTGTATCATACAGTTTTCAAGTGTTTATTTTGTGTCTTCTTCTCATACATTGAATGTTATTGCATCGAAAAGTTTTTATAATTTAAATACATATTGGTGGCGCTTAATTTCAGTTCATATAAACAAGTATAAAACTGTTTCTCTACTGTTGGTGTGAATATATATACCGGTTGTTAATAACTGCTTAGATATGGTAAATTGTATGGTAAATGACAGCTTTGACAACGCCATTCGTTGTGATAATACTATTTGTATTTTGTCAAGGTTTTGTTTTTTTTCATTAATAATTCCGTAGAAATAGTTAGAATATGTTGCGTAGAAAGACAATGAAAGCTTTGGAACGAAATATCTCAACCCAGAGAACTCAGCAACATAAAAATAATTAGAATGTATCTAGTAGGTTCAATCACATAACTTTCATCCAATGCTTCCCATATCAGATTCCTGTCTCACCTCATTTAATCCAAGCAACCGGTGTAACTCCATCACCTCTTACATAATAAGTATGAATTATAGTTGCCTCAATTCCATCGACTCTGTTCTTCGTCAGCATTGACCGAGAAGTAAATTGGAAAATGCCTCAACACTATCACGTGCAGCATCTCAAATCTTTGCCAACCTCATTGAACAGCTGGCTATATGACAGTGCCACATGTCAGGTGATCCACAACAGATAACTCAGAGAAGCGTTTTAAGTGAATACAGAAGTAAGACAAGACTGCCTATTATCATCGATGATATTCTTAATTGTGATGGACTGGATTATGCCTCAGACTGCGCATATGGAGTGATAAGACAGGAAAACTTTGGACCACCGATAAGAAGACAGTAGAAGATCTGGATTTCGCATGTGGATGATTTATGTTTCATGTCACACAAACTCGAAGACTTACAGTCAGGCGAAAACCAACAAACTGGCTGAAGAATCTGACTAGCAGCGAAGACAGGACTGCAGGTGAACATAGAGAAGATGGTAGTGATGAAGATAACCAACCAACAGCAACAACAGCCAGCACCAACTACCATCGACGAGTGAGATTTGACAGATTTTACTTCCTCCACTTATCCAGCCAGGAAGCACGGTTTCAACCTGATATGTATCCATATGTATATATATGATGGTCTCTCTTTCTGTTGCTCTCTTAGTCTGTGACCATTTCACTTTGATGAACCTGTCTCTTTTAACAATGTATATTCCCCTTATATTATATATAATATGTGTGTTTGTTTGACATGTCTGTTATATTTGCTATGTATATATGGATCGATGTTCCGTTATAATTAGCCAATCATGTTAAGACTGTCTATTGATTTGTTCATTTTGAATATTCGCTCACACACTTGTGTTCACTCACTTGTTCGGACATTCATATATATTTTGCTCTCACACACTTGTGTGACATTGATTCTCCTTGTGTTGGAATATAGAAGTACCATCGCAAACCTAGTGGTCTTCTGATTTCCGTCTTTCTTGCGTCAGGACTATTAAATTCTCGACCAGTACATAACAATAATTTGGCGACGGGGAAAAGTCATTTAATTCACTCAGCAGCAGAACATAATACAACCACAGGCATTCGGAACAAATGAAGAGGTCAAAGGCAGCCAGAATTGGAAAGGCAAGATACGCCTTCATCAAGCCGAAATCTTCTGTACTCATGAGAAAGAACGAAATTTGGATTTCCTATATCAAGGTAGAGTTAGTCATTTCCTCTATATGGGTCAGTTACTTGATTGTAGGTGAGGTGAATAAGATTTAAGACTTCTATAGTGTAAGTAACTTACATCATAGTAGAAGTTTAAGATACTACTTAAGGAAAAGTTATAGTAGGAGTGAGGTTTTCCTCTTGGATAACTACTAAAACTAAACAGACTTCGGAATATATGTCGAGCATACATCTCTCAATTACTGACCGTTTTCAGTCAACATGAAGATGGCATCTGCCGTCTGTACAAACTGATGACGTCAACTTCGTATGCAAATTCACTTGCTAGTTTTGTCATTTCGACAAGAGCAGTTAAAATTACAAACAGAGAGCATTCAATTTAACCTGGCATATTTTTCATGCTTTATTTTTTTTCTCCAAAATTTTCGAAGGTGGATGCTCATAATGTGGTTCCTGTATGGCATGCTTCAGATCACTTAGAATATGCTGCTCGTACAATTAGACCGAAATTACACCAGAAGGCTACCAATTTGATGACTGATTTCCCGCCGTTAATTAAACACCCCTACTGTCATCCACCGGATTTTACGCCAACAGTAAGTAGTTTGAAAAAAAATAATTTGGATGAAATATTTGTATGAATAAACTCATTTATTATTTCTCTGTTATCTGTATGTATTGAGTCAATGGTCCAACGGTAGAATGTTTTCCTGGTTGACGTACTACTGCTAAACCTCACTTAACTGGTAGTAGTAAGCCCGGTGAAGACAGAGAGGCTGAAAACGCCACCCTGTGAAATTAGAACCAGTGCTACTAAAACCTCGAGCTTGAAGTCCTATTTTCCATTCAGAAGGTAAAGAAATGAATAAAAAACTAATAATATACGTATATTTGTCTGGTTATCGGAGTGCTATCCCTATGACATAAATGCCAAGTGGACAAATACTTAACTTTCGAGAGAACTATTTCGTTTTGCTTTTTGTATAAGTGTAACAATACAAATGCAGATGAGGTGGACGGATTAATTGTTTAAGACAAAAGCAGTTCCAGAGTGTAAAGGCAATGGTCTCTGGGATCGCCTTGTAATTGGACCCCAGTGAGTGAGTGTGTACTGCTGAATAGTCCCAGACTAGGGAGAAACAGCTGCCCGGTACTCCCTAGTTTTCCAATGGTTCTCTTAATGATGTCAGCTTGTCATCAAACCGGTAAAGGTAATTTACTGAAGACATATAACACAGACAATATCAAATGATGCATCAATACTTGCTTGTGATGTTATTTGTTAGACCAAATGGATTCCTATTGAGCTATAAATTTTTCTATTGCACCTTTATTCAGTCAAACTCGTAATTATTATTAAGCAAGTATCAGTAACTTGATTTATCTGGTTTCTTATGTGTGTAATTACAAAAAATCTCCATGTAACGAATACTTCGAGAGTAGGAGGCTTGTACAATTTTCTCAAAACAGTCTATACAGAAAAAACAAATCCATTTACTATTGCTACTGTCTTCAGCTGTGGAATTTTCAAAGCCCCTTAAACATGAAGCGTAGTCTTAACCCCCCCCCCCTCGATTACTTGTTTTCCCAATTCCAATTATCTGACCTACTCATCTTTTTTTATCCTTGCATTTGTCCAGATGGAAATTTTTATTCACTGAAATTATTTTTTTTTAAACTCATCGTACATTCATTTGCACTCATAACTTTATGCTACATTTTGTCTTCCTCGTATTGACGCACGCACTTTAGTATCAAACTAAACAAAATTCACTTATACACAGAAATCAAGGTACATGCTGTAACATAATTCATTATCATTCTTGATAATGTTTCCCTTCGAACAAAACTACCATGTGGCATTTTGAAGAACAAAGTAGTGGTGAGTAAAATAGTAATCATTTAACATATCAGCGATTCGAATTCAGTGTGTATCATTTCAAATCTCGGGATTGTTATTCACCAAGATAGTGAGTACAGGCAAATTTCATTTGTTATAGTGTTCAAAAATAACTAAAACACGATCTGAACCATAATATTATTGTGAAAGTCAACTAACGACACGTTTCAGGATTTCATCATGAGCTGACATAAGTTAGAGAACCATTGGAAAACCTGGGAGTACTGGACAGCTGTTTCGTCCTAGTTTGGGACTCTTCAGCAGTACGCACCCACCGGGATTCGAACCCAGGACCTTCCGGTTACAAGGCGAGCTCGTATATCATTAAGCCACTGGGACCCGATCCAATGGTCCTTGAATTCTAACTTCTGCCAATTCACGACACGTTGTTGAGTAAAAAGATAAAAATATAAACTTGGTGATGTGCAGCTGTCGATGGAAAATTTGTACTGGTGATTGATCACAAATGTTTTTATGAAAAGTGCTATTTAGATTATTTATGAACAATAATCCTAAATATCTAACACACTATATGCCAATAATTGGTTGAAATGAATAGCTGTAGACCACTTATACCGGCCAGTGGTGCTTGCTGGCTAGATCGAGGGGATCTGGACGTACAAACAGTCAAGCTCATTATCTGTGTACCCTGTTTGACTCAGCTCAGCCGTCCGGTGTTTAGAGCATTTCAATCTGGATAGCAAACACTACTGGTTGATATGAGTGAGTGGTATACAACTAATCAATAAGTTGTAAACAGTTTTATGCGGACATGAATGCTCTCTTGATTTCCACTTATGGTATCAAGCAGATCTACATACTGTGATCTGAATAATTTGAATGCTAAAGTCTGTCTGACATAACCATCTATACTTTTTAAGTTTCTGAAAATGTTTTGTAAAAACAGACAAAACCCAACAAGCTCGAGACTTTCGTCAAAGTTATCTGGTTAGCGTAACATTCAGTTCACAGTAATTCTTTATTGGATTTCCAACCAAAGGGCCACAGGTTCGACCCCTGCTCCACCTATCGAGTGAGGTTCAGAGAGTCAAGCAGTGCCACTAACCCTCAGACAATAGATGTGTATGGTTTATTATCAATTCCATAAGATACTAAATGGTTGTTGAATCACGTTTTTTCTTTATTCTTTATTACGAATTATTTCAGCATGTAGCACTTTTGATATTATTTTTGAAGATTAGTTTAATTTTAATTGTCAGATTTCGTCACGAGTTAATCCGTTAGGGAGATCACTAAAAACGTCTGTTTCATCCTATTTCGGGACTCTGCAGTGATGCACACCCATGACCTCACCAGAGGTCGAACCCGGGAACTTCAGGTTATGACGCCAAGTTCGATGACCATTCAGACATTTGAGCTGGAATTCAGTGACCCCTGAATTCTAGGTTTGTAAACTGGTGATGTAGTGCTACCTTTACCGATACGTTCAGCGAGTATCCACTTCACCTTGACATGGTGGATCCCACTGCATCCTCAAGAAACTCATCCAGTAACCATCAATGGGTTAGCGATTGGTTTTCAGCTCTCTGATTGATATGTGGCACACATTGATGAAGAGTCTCAAAACAGGACGAAACATCTGCCCTATCTTCCCTGGTTTTCAATCACCTTTCTAACTGATGTTGGTTCGAGACGAAAATATAACAATTATAATTAAACTGAAATCCCCACAAATCTGAAAGTTTTTTAATGTATGTGGACATTTTTGTGAGATATGAACAGTTGGTTTCCGTTAATGTGAAATACTACTTTATTTCAGGTAGAAAAATATTATGAAATGGAAATGACAAATATATATTCAGTGGATAAATACACTAAAGGAATATTTTAGTATTTCATGCTATTATTTCCCTGGATAAACTTGAACAAAGCAAAAAGAATACACTGAGCAGAATAATATGACGTCATCATATTTCGGAATATTAAATATTTCCATAGCAAAACTTTTAAACAGCACGTGTACGCGACCGACACTGTCTTCATTTAGATCTCATTGCTTCCAATAAATGACCACTGTTTAACTAAATTTAACATAAAGGAGCTTCGGATGGTTTTGTCCATTCTTTACAGGACCACAATGGGAGATGTTCAGTAATACGTCGGCTAAGCTGTCTAATAGTAAACCAAAATATAACTGTCTTCACGGGAGCAGCTGAACAGATGGATACACATATATGTGGCAAAACTATCTAGCTTATTCTTCGTTTGAGTCCTTATCACTCATGGAATAGAAAATGACATAAATTTGCTGCATAAAATATTCTACGTATACCCCCCCCCTGGCTGATCAATCTCTAGAACCAACATTTCACTTGACAAGTTCCCACTACATTGCAACTTAATAAATAATGCTTTTTTCCGTGCTGTCATCGCCTCAGGCTTTCTATTTAATGTTTCTTTACAAACCAACGAGGAGAGCTCATCTCTGTCAAGAAATCATGAGTATATTCATCCAATTCCTTTTGTAATTGGTCTTCTGTACATATCTCTCTTTCTCTGCCTGTAGGACAGATAATATTTCTGTTACGTTTAATAGGCATTTACCACTATATTTTGTTGGATATTGTCAGCTGTTACTATCCATTTAGTATCAATATACGAAATATTCAACGCCTTAGCTATTGATTTTAGTATCGAGTGATTAAGTAGTAAAATGGGAAGGCATATAAATCGTTATGCATGTATAGAAATAATTAAGGAATATCCTAGAATTAGAAACGAATGTTACAGCTACAATGACGTCATAATATCCAACTCAATGTGTTCTACTTGCTTTGTTCAAATATATAATAAACTAAGTTGGAAATACTGAGAAAAAATACCTAAAAATTACTAAATTTGTGCAATAAGTTGGTAAAATGAGGATTTACCAATATACAAGTGGCTAACTGAATTTCAACATAGAAATTTATAAAAACGTACTGCAGTTCAAGCTGTCACACTTTATGTTACACACAAAGACAAAAAGTGAAATTCGAAAGAATTGACAAATATAAGAGAAAAATAATTTTAAAGTGGAAAAAATGACGGTTTAATGGATATCAGAGGTCATTAACAGTGAATGCACCTGCGCAATATCACCAATAGTCTCCAGCCATTGGTTTTTAGCATACTCAGGAACCCAAACAAACGACCTGCATCTCCCTACATGGCTCAAACCCTGTCAAACTCTTCGTCGACTGATCCCAGGTTTTCGTCTGATCTTCCCTAACTCTTTTCTAACCTAACCCTATCTTAGCTAACATTTCCTCTTGTTGAGGAAGGCGATGGCTCAGAATGAGTTGAACATGTCCTAACCATCTCATTCGACGTGGCTTCACAACACCCTCGATTGATTTACACCCCTAACCTAACACTTGACGCTTACCTCAACATTACTAGCTCTATCAAAACAACTAACACGGGAGACAGAACGCAGATACTTATGAACAAAGCTGAGCCTTTCTCATCTTTCCCTTCCAATGACTATATTCCACAAGCACATAGGAGGACAAAGGCGACTGCTGAGCAATGGACAAAACCTCCCAATTGGTAGCTGAATTTCCCGTCTACACCAGAGGTTGGCAAAAGACTCCAGGGCCTTGTGCATCCATGCTGAGAATTTGTCAGCAATCAGTTCATTGGGGTTGATGCATCTTGCCAAATAAGTGAAGTGGTCGACACGCTATCAATTCGCTCCCTACTTTCAAAGCTAGGAGTCTGTGTAGTCCAGTTGTGAATCATCTTATGTTAAACGGGTTTAATCGCATGCCAAAGATTTCTGCTTAGTGTCAATTCCTATGTCCCTAAAGCCAGTTACAGTGATGAAACAAAAATGGGGACAGTGGGCATATGTGACAAACATCATCGTTTGTTATTACTCCAAACGACAACTCTCTTTCAGCTCTTACACGACTACTTAGCTTGAGTTCTTTGATTAGTGTGACGTACTTTCTCGACACTGTCAGTTGTTATATGTGTAGAAATATATCCAACTCTAACACACAATCATAACCCTAAACAATCAATCTATTATTTCCAATGTAATTTTTTCGAATAATTATTTCAAAATAAGTAGGAAATTTTGTCAATAAATTTTTCCAACGAAGTGGTGTGATAATAAAGCACACGTATCAGAATACACCAGTTTGAATTACCGCAACCACGATACATGTAAGAAATGAAGCCTTTATGATGCAATAGATCACATGTACTATCTTGTGATCATAAAAAATGCAATTTTATAGGTTCCACTTAGAAGTCTACTGCTTAAATATGACTATCAAGACTAATTCATTTAAACTAGTGTTTTTAGGGTAGGCTTCATCATTATTCAAATGAATGCTTAGTTTCCTCCATGTCATTTTCTTTTCATGTATTCACATATTTTTAAGACGTGAAAAAAGTAGAATACACAAACAACGAGTAATATTTTCATCAATCAAACTCAAGTGAGGATAAAAGCTATCGCGAGGTATTTTCGCGCGATTGAAACAGATATTCCAGCTTATTTTATTCAATTTTAGATTATCCCGTCAATTGATTGGACCGAACTGCCTGGTCTCAGGTTGAAATGTCGGCTTCTTGTGTAGATGTTTCGACGAGTTAACTCGTGGATGGTGACTAGCGGTGGAATTCAGGATGCGCATTTCGTCCTACTTGGGACCAACTATTTGACGGGAATTCAAATCGTAGTAGGTGATCTCTATTCTACCTATTCAAGTGTATTAGGTAGAAAGCACAGCGAGTTTTATTTTAGCAACAACTTATATTCCTTTTCATCAAATCCACTTCACTGCAAGAAGTCATCAATTCACATTTTTCTTCCTGTAGTAAGTATTGCACCATTTAGCATCAATCTAGCGAGAATTTCGCTTACACTGAGTTCCTAAGTGACAAGGCTCTGTAGCTGATCCCATTTGCCTATCCCACATAAATACAATAGTGCTGATGGGTTGTTTGCTGCTGATAATAAATTAAACTGAAAGAAATACGAGCTTGTATCTATCACTTTATAAAAGGATTTGTGATTCAGTTTTGACCACGGATTGGTAGCAGTTAGAGAACCATGGCAGTTTGAGACTCATCGGCGGCGCAAATCCGCCGTAGTTCGAACCCAGAACCTTCCGGTTACAAGGCGAGATCATAGACCATTCATCCACTGGGAACTGACTCAATGGTCCATGAATTCCAACTTCTACCAATATTTACTAATAGTTATGTCATGAAAATTACTTTAAAGTAAATGAGCAGAGTTGCATTTATTGTCACCGCTCAGAGAAAAAATGTGAACAATGAGAATTACAAATTATGAAATTCGTTCTACTACAGCTAAAGTTGGAAGCAGTGTATACTAACCAAGTGACACTAAATCGATCAACGTCAAATACAATGACCGATGAGTCCAAGAAGTTACCCTTTGAAACAATATACAGAAAGACTGATGTCCAAGAAATAAAGTGATACGACAAGGATGCGTCAAATTAGGTAGAAAACATGTACTGAACTGAAAATCAAGTGGTAAAGACTGCACCACCGTGATCAAGTAGTGTTCACAGACTGCGAAACTGCCAGGTAAAAATGAGGAATTATACCTTATTTTGAATGAATTAACCAAGATAATAATCTGAGTACTTCACATCGATTGATATAAAAACTTAACTTTTTTTCTAAAGTTGATAGATTGGGATCATTGGATGTCAGAATATCCAGGAGATTTATCGGTTAAACCTGTTGATTGGGCAACTCCAGGGACGAAAGGTGGTTTCGGTACTCTGTACACGTTTATACACAAAAGACTGAACAAGTACGCTGATGATCGTAACGACCCAACAAAACACTGCCTGAGTGATTTATCACCATGGTTTCATTTCGGTAATAATTCTTTGATTTATTTTATAATTTATCCCTTAAATGGTAGTCTGTAGTAAACTATTACAATAATACCCAAATTTCTAGTGGATTTCTCACAATGGCAATTCTATTCATCGAGAGATTTTTCGTACATCTTAACGCATCGGTTGCCTATATTGCGTTACTTGATCTCGATTCACGAAAAGCAGTGTGTTAAGAATAACCAATAACAGAAAGCAATGCCGTTTATACTCAAGTGTAGACTCCTTAGTCGTTTTTCGTTGCAGTCCCAGAATCCACTCGTATAAAGTAACCTTTCAGATCTATTAGTTTTAATGATAGAATGTGCAAACTTTTACTCTGTATATCTGTTCTCCTCTTCATCAGTCACTGTCTAGTGCTCACTCAGAAGCTGTAAAACGTCTGTCTTACCTATTCTTCATGCATGCGCCATTTTAATTATTCCTGGAGTCCAAGTTAAATTGGGCAAACTATCAGGCAGATTCAATAACATTCACCATCTTGGTTTAGAAAAAGTGAAATCGAATGCATAAAAAGTTCGATTCTATCACACTTATTGGATTAGATACAGGATATTGTATCGACGCTAAAGTAGCCTCCAGGTTCATATTCCACATTCCGAAGTTTGGCCATGGCAGAAACGGTGCCTGGACGTGTTGTTTCTCAATATTAAGTTACGGTCCAATAGACCTTATCGCAACAGTTTCAGCTGTATGTAGAAGACGTAGATGAAGTGTTCTTGATAATGACCCTAAAGGCTACGTTAGCATCGATACGATATCCTGTATCTAATCCAAAAAGTGTGACAGAATCGAACTTTTTATGCATTTGATTTATCCCTTTCTGGTCAGTTTAGATGTTGAATAAACACATCGCATGTGTCCATTAGGCGTTAGGGATAAAATGCACTATTGGGGGCTTCAACATAACTCAGTTCTGGTTTCCGATACGCTGAATTCTCATCATTAGCTCTCGCACAAGAAATTAGCTTTACATTTCAGTGCTTCACCGACATCAGATAGTTACTTATTCTAACAACCAACAATCGTAATCGGTGCATATAAATCTATAGTTTTAGGATTCAAATGTTTCAGATTTTCCGAAAATGCCAGTAAAATTTTGTTATCACACGAGTACTTCTAATAATACCACAAGTGTTTTAAAAATTCACATTTCTGTAACACCTCTTTCATATTGATACTTCAGGTCAAATTGCACCGCAACGAGCGCTCTTAGAAGTCAAGCTTATGCGTGATAAGTATAAAAATTCAGTGGATTCCTTCGTAGAGGAAGCCTTTATACGAAGAGAACTATCGGATAATTTCTGCTACTACAATCCGAAATACGACTCACTTGAAGGTAAGTGCTCAAACTCTTCTTAGTTGGCTAAATTCATACTTTCTACAAGTCTGTCTTACCGTTAGGATGTTGAAAATTGTTCACGAACTACACCAAACGAATAGTCACTTCATAACTTTGTTTAATACAAAGATCGTACTTTCCATGTAAACTAAGTCTGCGAATAACCAATACCATCAAAACTAATGCGAACCGAGCTTTCCCATCCGTTTAAGTTTATATTTCGCAACCGCATGAAAAAACTAACTAGTCCTAGTTATTGGCTCTAATTAACCAGCCTTATTTTTTGTTTGAGCGTGGAGTGATAGGCAGAAAATTAGATGATGCTGACAAAGTTCAAACAACCTTTCCTCAATAAGACTACTGTTCATGTGAACAATTTATAGTTAACACATTCATTCTGCTTATATGTGTCAGTTTACTTTCTAGCTTCCTACACTCATTATTACTCTAAAAAATTGTCACATGAACATTAGTTTAAACTACGCATCTTTTCTACCTTATATATACTGAACAGTCGCAGTTATTCTTGAGTACAAGAAATAGGTTCTAAATTTCGTATTGGTTGAGTCAGTTATGTAAATGTCTCGACATACGCTCCCAGACCCGTTCGTTAACTATGAATACAAGCGGAATGCACATTATCTCTGCTACGCCACGACTGTAGGTCTTGCGTGTTTTCATGCTATCTATGAATTACCTTAATCATTTCCATTCTACTTCTCAAGTTCTTTTTTATTGATCTTTTATGAATAGGAGCATGGAAGTGGGCACAAGATACGCTATCTCAACACGCCAATGATAAGCGTAATCCTTCATACAGTGGAGAAACAATGGTTGGAGCTGAAACTAAGGACGACTTGTGGAACGCAGCTCAACGACAACTCGTACGTACAGGGAAACTTCATGGTTTTTTGCGAATGTATTGGGCCAAGAAAATCCTGGAATGGCATGAAGGTGGTCCTTCAGCTGCCCTAAAATTGGCATTATACCTTAACGATCATTTCGCACTAGATGGGTCTGATCCCAATGGCTTCGTCGGTGTCATGTGGTCGATATGTGGTATACATGATCAGGGTTGGGCAGAAAGACCTGTTTACGGGAAAATCAGGTGCATGACTTACAAAGGATGTCAAGGGAAATTTTCTGTACCATTGTTTGTGGCACGTTACCCCAAGTAGCTTTGTATGAAGAAATTATTTCAGAATCTGATATTTTTAATCAATACAAGCTTAATGTAAATACCAAAAAGCGGTTGAACTTGTCTTAGATCTCTGGGAAAATCACACCTCAACAGAAATAAATGCAGATTTAGGAAAAATAAGGGGCAGCAATTCAAAAGTGATATTTGTAGGGAATGGCTGCCGCTATTATGTCCACATAAGTGCACATAGTTAGAGCTGCTAATTGCAATGAACCGTTGCAACTGGGTTCAAGATGATAAACAATAACTGCAGGTATTCAGTGGCGTGAAATTCAAAGTAAGCTATGAGAGCAAGTTTCCGCTCATGTAAAAATTGTCAAAAAAAGAATCCAATTATAAAAACGACAGAATTATCGCCCACAGCGTGTCCATTACGAGTACAACAGTTAATTTCCCCACCAGTCTGCAGAACTTTGGGACATTGTTTTAGGTTGAGAGTCATAGTAGCCACCGTCTGGTAGCATTCCATAGTCCCTTGATGATGTCATTGAAGGACGATTAGAACCATTACCACCACCACGAGATGGAACTTGTCGATAATCGCGAGCCCCGAAACCACCTCCCCTGAAAAGAAAGACAAATAATTATCATATACAGTAAACAACATTTAATGTTCTGGAGATTTTGACAGGAAATTGCTCATCTCATACCACAAACATTTCCAAACAATTACAAAGTGAAGTGATTCACTAAAAAAGGATGAGCTACAATCAGTGATTTTCAAACGACCTGAATCTTTCACCACGAAAGAGAATTTTCAGACTACTTGCTAAACAACTTTGAAAACTGCCACATAATGTTTGCCGTTGTCTATCGTAGATATAGATCCTCCCCATCATTTTAAGATTCAACAAGGAAAAGTGCAAGGCAAGCTTAAAAACGTATTAGTTTACACTAGAGGGAAATTAAGATGTGGAGAAGATGTCATGCTCACCACACTGAATGCATCTTTTTTTTATCTTGTAACACATTTTAAACAGCAGATTAGGCTACCCATGTGCTACGGCACCATTGTTAGGGCTACAGGCACTCAGTCAAACACACCATTGCTAAAATTCAGTAACTCATGAGTCATAATCAGACTTTCAGGCTTTATTATTGTTTTCATAGTAGTGGAACCTGCAGTTATGCAACTCGATTATGGCAAGTAAGAAATCGGTCACAAAAGTGAATTGTTATAAAAGTGTAGACTTCGATAGTTAAATTTCATGGATTGCAGATTACAATCGTACAGATAAAAACGCTAATTTGTGGGGCAGTGGTGATGTGCCTTGCATTGGTTGCAGACAATTGTATGACTTCTGATTTTATTTATTTACTGGTATTTGCACTGAGGAATTTTCCTTGATCATTTGTTTATTGATGAACTTTCTTAGCACAGGACTGCGGCGGATATAAATAAAATCACTCAACATAGGCCGCAACGTGGTACATAATTAAATAAAGCCTGAATAAAATTTTTCAAAGCTACAACCGTAAAAGAATAGGAATGATTTATTCAATACTTATTCTTAATTTCAATAATGGACAGAATACATTGCCAACGTGGAAGCTCCATCAGTGTCATTGACTCAGTAAGACTATGCGTTTGTTAATTTAGTAGATAACTTGGCTTCGCTTTGTTCCAACAGCATAAACAGTATTAATTAGTTCCCTAGCAGAACATGTGACTATAAGGGTATATGGTTCTACACAGCAGATATTTCAAATAGTTGCACTAACTCAAGAATACTAGAGGTTGTAGGAGCATTAAGAAATAAATTTATAAGGTGAACTAACCGACGATTGTTCTTAGGACGCTGAAAACCTGTTGGCCTCCCGTCGTTTGTGAATGCCTTTAGCCATGGTGGAACGGCCTGATTGGCCTCTTCAAGTAACTCAACCAAACCACGAGCTAAGTTACGATTTTTATCATTAAAAAATGAAGTGGCTTGTCCGAGATTCCCAACACGACCAGTTCGACCAATACGATGCACATACTCTTCGATATCTGAAGGTAGATCGTAGTTAATGACATGCTGCATTGTATATCAAAAGATAAGAAAGAAATAATGCAGATAAACATAGTAAAGCACTATATATATACATATATATATATAGCTTTCATTACACTAAAGTGTCTATTAAATCTGCAGACAAAATGAGGCGAATATCTGTTATACAATAAATATCCACTGTAGATTACTGTCTAAATCAACACAAAGATGGTCAATAAAACTACTAATGAAAAGTTTGCGATACCCCTATGCCATTTCATGAGTATGTTTTCTGTGAATAAAGCTCAGAGACTATATGTTAGTGCAGAAAGACTACTTGTGCAGAGTTCAGTGAAAATGCGTAAATAACTGACAGGCTTATATTCCAGTTATTGGTAATATCGCGCAGGCTAACAAGGATAGAAAATGATTTCTCTAGCTTTTCTTGAGATCACATCAGAAAAGAATGTTTTGGAATCAACCCAAGTTCCATTTTAAAACTACGTATAGATGAAGACATGTTGTAAAAGTCTTATAATGCATGCAGGGCGCGTGACAAAAGTGTAGAAATTTTCGAAAAATCTGTCAGGAAAGCTGTTTTTTCTGAGTGCTTCTTTAACGAAATTAGAATGTGACAACAAGTCGAACAGACACACTAGATTAAAGTTAGAGGTACGCAATAACATTAACATAAACACACGTGACAACACTAAAAAAGATGCGTCAGAAGTGATAATTTTTGTTGTTATATATAGAACAAATTCAATGTTGGTAGGTGGTCCTAAGAAAACTACTAATGTTATTTAGTTGGTGTTGGCTAGCCATGGAGTTCCAGACGCGCGTTTGGTCTCATCTGAGATTCTTAGGCTGCATGTACATGCATTTTCAGTAAAAATCAATCCATAAATTCAATATAATGATGTCAATAAAAACGAATGAAATATTTCTTGCTGTTATATCAATAATCATTGGGTCTGGAAACCCACTGTTTTTTTTTCTTAATTAACTGTAATACAACCTAAAGGCTTTAAAGTATATGTACTGATACATGTAAGGTAATAAAACATAGTTCGATGTTACCACGTAGAGATGTAAGCCATCGCAATATATGAATGTAAATCATGTATAAGAGTGTATGAAAAAAACAACCACAGGATCTCTGGCGCAGACATGATATCCAATTATTGATCAAAGGACGTTTGTACTATGCAAAAGTATACTCTATCCTTCTTTATGGCTCTCAGACATGGACGTTGAAAGTGGAAGATATGAAAACACTAGTTATCTTTGATCATATGTATCTGTGTTCTGTCTCCTGTGTTAGGTGGTTAAATAAAGTGAGTAATATTGGGGTTAGACATCAAGTCATAATTAAGGAGGGAAATCCAATCTATGAGGTTGTGAAGCTACACCGATTTTGATGCCTAGGTCGTGTTACGCATGCCTAGCCATCACCTTTCTCGACGGGATTAGTTTAGAAAAGAGTTAGTGGTACTCAAACGAAAACATAATAGCCCGTGAAATATTTAACAGTTAGTTTGAGCCATGTAGACAGGTGTTGATTGCTTGATTGGAGTCCTCCGGATGTTAAGATCCAATTGCTAGAGACAACTGGTTATATGGCTCAAAATCGTTCTCAATGGTACAGATACATTCACTCGTGACTTGCCACATCCATTTAGCCATATTGCCTTTTCCATGTTACTGTCCTTTATCCCTCACATTTCTGTTCGTTACGGTTCATCCTTTTTTTCTTTCTTTTTTTTCCCTAACGTTCCCATTGGAACATAGGGCTCCAAGCTAGAGGCTTGAATTTTCTGTAGCAGTGTTAATTTTTACAGGATGAGGTTGCTAGCCCCATGCCCAACCTTTCCTCTTTACCAGTCTCACCACTGGCTGAGCGAAACAAAGGAGAGGATCGAACCCCGGACCATGTGCATGGTCGGCGACGCGTCCTAACCGCTGTAACACCGACGCACATGGTTCATCCGAATCTCTTTTATCTCTTGGAGCGTGGCAACTTGGACTGTTGTACTTCTGTTCAAAGTTTTGTTGAAACCAGTCAGTCAAATGTATTGCACTTTAGAAATAAAAGCCCTGATCCGACTTTGATATTCAAAGAAATTGAAGTTAATTCAAAATAATTTGTCATGCAGATGACTAAATACACTACCTTCTGATAGTTGGATGTCGTGAGAAATATTACATGTAGTGAACGACAAAGTCAACAGTAAATAATATATACGAGATAAAGAACAAAAGTGTGTGTAAAGCAATGTCTGTCTGTCTGTTTTCGACATAGAACTTTGCACAAATGTTCGGAAGTTCAAGTCGCCACATTCCGTGTAGCACGCGAAGTAAGAGAAGAAAGTACAAGAAAAGCATAATAGAGACAGTGAGCAGATGTGTGAGACAAAGGAGTAATAAAGAAAAACAAAACAGTTTCATTGGAGATCATAAGTCACAAGGAGTGGATGCATATGCACCAGCACTGAGAACGATTTTGAGCCATGTCACCAATTGTTTCCAACCATAGATTTTTACCGTCCCGAGGACCCCAGCCTGGAAGTCTACACCTTCCTACGTGGCTTAGACCAACTGTTGTGGATTTCATTGACTGGTGCCAAGTTTTTGTTTGACCGCCGCTAGCTTTTTTCCAGCCTGACCCTATATCCGCTAACATTGCTCGTCGAGGGAGGCGATGGCTTGGCATACGTAACACATGTCCTAACCATCTCAGTCTTTGTAACTTCACGACTTCGTCGATTGATTTCCCCTGTTTACCTAGAACTCGACGCCTAACCTCAATGTTGCTCACCTTATTATGCCACTTTACACGGGAAATAGAACGCAGGCACCTATGATCAAAGACAGCTAGTCTTTTCATGTCTTCCACTCTCAGTGGCCAGGTCTCACAACCATAAAGGAGGACGGAGCGGACTGATGAGCAGTACACCCGCCCTTTGGTCGATAGTCGAACATCTCGTCTACGCCAGAGTCGGCGTAAACTAACAAATGCGAAACGAGCCCCTTGTATTCGTGCTGAGATTTCGTCAGAGATCAACCCGTTGGCACTGGCTGATGGTACTTCCCAAATAAGTGAAGCGGTCAACGTGCTCTACCACTTCACTTCCTATTTTTAAACTAGGCGTCGATGTAGTCCAGTCCTGTAACATCATCTTGCATTTGGCGGGAGCGAATCGCATGCCAAACATTCGTAGATTGCTGCTCAAGGTGTTTAGAAGACTCTGCATTTCGTCAGCGTCTTCGCCTAGAAGGACTATATCGTCTGCATATTCCAAGTCAACGAGATTATTCCCTGGTAGCAAGTCAATCCCTGAGTCGCTGAAGTCATCTAGGGTTAAGTCCATTAACACATCTATGATGAAGTTGAATAGAAAAGGAGATAATGGGCATCCTTGACGGACACCACTGGTCGTCGTCAGTTCAGATGACAGCTCGCCGTAAGCCCTCACCTGGCTGTATGAGTACGAGTAGAGTGCCTTAATCAGTGCAATATATTTTCTTGGAATTCCCTTTACAGCCAAGCATCTCCAGAGAACTTCTCGATCGACAGAGTCGAATGCTGCCTTTAGGTCAAGAAATATAATGACTGTTGGACGCCGGTAGGAATTCCTATGTTCTAGAATCTGTCGGAGGGTGAAGATATGATCAATACACCCTCTTCCTGGTCTAAAGCCTGCCTGGCTCTCTCGTGTTTGTGCTTCCCGAGCACCACTCAGTCTACGCATGATTATTGAGCCTAAGACTTTAGATACTATATTAGTCAAGCTAATCTCTCTGTGATTATCACAGGAAGACTTGTCTCCCTTCTTGTATATGGGGATAATCAGTGACTTACACCAACCCGATGGGACTTTTTCTGATTCCCAGACGCTGCCTAGTACCTCAGTTAATCCGGACAGTAAGCTGTCTCCACCGTACTTAAATACCTCTGGAGTCATTCCATCAGGTCCCGCTGCTTTGCCTATTTTAAGATTGTTAACAGCTTTAGTAACCTCAGTTAGTGACGGAGGACCTGTGTTTATATCCCATCCAGGGAGGTGTTGGATGCTCGGAAGGTTGAGCGTGGCTGTGGGCAAATTAAACTGCTCCTCATAATGCTCTTTCCAACGATCCAGTCGTCTATCCTGGGAGCTAATTATAGGGCTTGACAACAATGTTACGCATGAAGCGTCTATAATCTCCAGATGAATTGAACAAGGAGGAAATTACCTTAACATTTGGAATATCCAGTCCACGTGCTGCAACTGCAGTTGCTACGAGTATTGGGGTTCGACCCGTACGGAAGCAAGACAGGGCCAATTCCCTATCCTCTTGAGTCCGATCTCCATGTATGCTTGCGACTTGGAACTTCTGAGAGTACAAATAATTCTCAAGAGCATCTGCACCACGTTTCGTCTCGACGAAAACTAATGTCAGCGTACCTGTATCTAAAGGACCAATTAAATAAAAATAAAATTATTAAAAACCTGAATTAGCAAGTAGATCAATCAGAGCATCTCGTTTAGAATTTTCCTCAATCCAAAGTATAGTTTGCGTGATATTTTCACTAGTGCTTCCAACGCGTCCAACCGTCAAAAAAATATAGCTGTGCAAAAAATCTTTAGCTAAAGCCTAGGGAAATATCATGTGAACTTGGTAATACCTGAATTTCATTAGGGAAAGTTGCGGAAAACATAAGTGTTTGCCTCTCACCAGCAGGTGGGAGAGCATCCTGCTCAACAATACGACGAATTTGTGGTTCAAATCCCATGTCCAACATACGATCAGCCTCATCCAAAACCAGAAATCTGAAAAATTACTTTTTATTTTGAAACTTACCGACAATAATCTAAACCAATGCGACCCCGCTCTAAAACATCACTTAATCGACCAGGAGTAGCAACTAATAAATTGCACCCTTTAGATAGCTCCATCAACTGTGTTCTCATATCAGCACCACCGTATAGAACACATGGTCTGATGTTGGATCTATATGCAAATCTTCTAGCATCATCAAATATTTGTGACGCTAACTCCCGGGTCGGAGCCAGTATTAGTGCCACCGGAAAGTGCTTTCTCCGATTGTTATCCATCTACCAAAATAAGTCATTGGAAGGAAGAACTTACAGTAGCACATATAGAGTCACCAGGACCCTGATTTATCATATTATTTAAAATTGGAATAAGGAACGCTGCAGTCTTTCCTGAGCCGGTTTGGGCACAGGCCATCAGATCTCGACCTGATGCAATGATTGGTATTGCATGTTTTTGTACTGGCGTAGGCCGTTCGTAATGGGCCATATCGACATTGTCACGTATTATTTTATGCAATGAAAGCTCAGTAAATGACGATATTGTTGATGTACTATCATTGTAATTTGGACCCGTTGCAGTTACAGGAATGTTGTCATATTGGTCAAAATTTATGCCTGCGCTCACATTTTTGAACAATTCCTGCTCTGTGCGCTCATTTCGAGGTAACTGTTGAGTCCAATCCTCACCGGGTGAACTCCAAGTACGTCTAGGAATATTAGGGCCAGAGGAGTAATTGCTATTCCGCGGCTGGTAACTGAAAGCGAATCTCGTACAAAAACTCAACATACCCTCCATTGAAGCTTTGCCACCGTGTGTCTGATTGTTGCCAGTCGTTTCCTATCTTCGATCCTCTGTTACCATAAAAACCACGACTAGAACGTCCACGAAAATTATCACCAGTCGTGCCTCGAGAAGGGCGTGAAAACTGACTATAATCATTTGAGGATTCAACAACGCCGTTTGATGCTCCGCGATTTCTCAAATGGGGAGGTACATAGATTTTTGAACCACCATCATTTGATTGTTGTGTGTGGATACTCATAGACGAAAACTAAAAAGATATTGCAAATCTAGAATTATTCATAGCTTGACAGTCAATGCAAAACGTTCATGCCAAAATGTTGGCTTGGTGAGCACAAATACTAGAAAAGTGGTAACTACCTTTCTTGTTGGCTACCTAATATAAGCTTTTCTTCAGTGTAAAGTCAACTAGATTATATACTGTCAAAAACCACAGAAGTTTCAGAAACTGCAAACATGTGAATTCACACATGGAGAAATTTTCTTGTACTAGACTATGGAGCCCAATTTATACTTGGAATCTTACGGTTGTCTGAACCGAAGTGATTTAAATAAGCTTTACCACGTGGTTCAATGAACGACGCTTAAACACACGGATGGTTGCATCCCAACTTCATTAAATAATTACCGTATATTTGGCCTAAATACAGACAGTAGTTCACATGAACTCTGGAAATTGTAAATTAAATGTGATCAACCAGGGCAGAAAGTAGGACTACTGTATCGTAAACTAGTACTGCAATAAAATGCTAAAACATAGTCATCAAAGGATTTTCAATTATTGTTGTTAGTCTATGAGTAGCCAGTTCAGGAACATCACTGTCGGCTAACTTATAGATCTTACAACTGTTTCTGCTATGTTGAAGTGTTTCTTGAGTTATTTTCAACATTTTGCTTTTAAAGTTTGTTTACTACCCATGCAGTATTCAAAACATGTAAGGAAAACAGAACACAACGGCAGTAAAACAATACTAACAAAATGCCAGGCTATAGACAAGCTTTGTGATTACGTTCACTACTGATTCTATTCAGATAACTATTAAACCTAGTCAACTGATAACCAAATGTTCGCCAGATGGACATAACAGAGATCAACAAAAATATCGACATACATGGCGATCCTACTTTATGTTAGTTCAGGACTTCACAGTTAATATGCGAACAAAAGGTGATAAAAAAGATAAAGAACAAGATAGTTAATGAATGCTTGTGTGATGCTACAACTAGGTCTTGCAACTAAACCGATTGTAATAAAAAACAAAGCAGAAACAATGAGAGTCCGTGACTCCGTATGGCTTAATGTGTTTGTATCATCAGGTGTGATGTTCATTTAATCCGACTGAATTAAATGAAGCAGAATTCAAAAAATGACTTGTTGGTCGAATACTATTAGCGGTGAACTGCGTAAAATAATAAACACAACTCTTGATACTAGTTAATATAAATATGAATCAACATAAAAACCTTACGTAAAATTACCACACTGGGAAAATGTTCGCCAGTTTGGACCACTCAACATCTGCGACGACCCAGTTGACTGAAATATTGCTTACCCAGTACTATAATTTTAATGTGGTTTCACCATAAGATGACACTAGGAGAACACGTGTGGCCAAAAATTCATTACCTCGCACCCTCCACCCTAAACGACAAACGCTGACATGAAACCCAACATCACGTGTATATCCGTGCACTTGGCTGAGGCATTTCGTATGGTGTAAACAGAGAAACAGCCAAATGATTTGATGAAGCAGTCCAGGAAGTGGTCAGGTACTTTACTGGACAGTTACACCCTAAAGAACGCCTGACATATTCTAAAAACAGCAGAAGTTTTTGGCCTTCAGATTATACTTAGAGAAACAATGAGTCTCAACAGCTTATTCAGAAAAGTTAAATAAATGAGGACGCCTTCATATAAGTGACAGGCTGTCGCTCACTGACCTAGGCGCTTATCTTCCAACCGTTGGGTCACAGGTTTGAACGCCACCCCACCTATCAACTTTGGGCGTCAGGCAGCATCACTATTCCTCAAGCACAGTATGATTGAATCATTGCCATTTGTGCATGGAATCGAGTGCAAAACGAAGTGTAACAACAGTTAAGAAGTATAGTAACAATGTTTACACAGTGACGGTAAGAAGTGCTAGATAGCCTAAAAGTTAGATAAGACAGTTGTGATAGGCGACGGTAAGTTTCCGACGTTAATCAGAGACGTGTGAAGATTAACAGAGATTTTCAGAAAAACTGATATGAGTGAGCCTGGTGTGCTCTTACTGGCTATTTCGAAGCATTTGAAGACAATGGGCGAACATTGGTCTCCAAGCTGAGATGTAAGTTAGCGTAACATTAGCAGATTAGTTTCAAACATTAATCGTTGAAGCCCTTTAAAAGTGAAATATACTAATTTCCTGAACTGAAAAAACAGCTTGGTCCATGTAATTCCTAAAATCCCAGGGCATAAAATGATGCGATTTCGTCGTAGATGCGGAAGTGTAAACCCAAGGAAAGTAAGTTGTTTCTACGTGAATACAAGAGTGTCAAAAGGATATTTAGGCTTCGTTGAGCTCTAAACAGTGCTCAGTGTCGGTCACTAAAACGAATGTATCAAAGCACATCAGATTGCTAGTCTACCTCCACGCTCATGATCAAATCGAACTCTACAGTGATATCCAAGAATTAAGTATGTTCTCTTAATTTTCACTCACTCTTATAACAGACATACATCTTCCCTTAGTTATCTTAGAGTATACAGATGACACGAGTTTACTACACAGACACTTACAAAATCGAGTTTTCGAAAATACTTGGATGTTTATTATCTTGCTTGAGTAAAATGACACTTCAGGATTGGTCGCCACTGACACATTTTATCTTACTGCGATGTGACTTAGTGTTTAGACCATTCTATCCATGCTGACAGGGAAACCAACTCTGACGAATTGCGGTAAACAAAATTTCGGCACGGATAATTAAAACTGCTGTGGTTCGCGCTGAACCGAGATATTCATTTGCCCTTTAAACAAAAAAGTGGTAATTTGCAGTGAAATGTCCTTCATAATGACTGCTGGAATTATAAAATTCCACGAGACTGCTACTTCATTATAATCACGTTTAGGTTGGGGATTAATGGAGGCCAGACCTATGGCAATAATTTATGAAGTCACAGACTCTTAGTTCGAGGTAAGTTGGGGAATGTCGTGTTTGTAACTGGATTTGAAGCAGCCACATCATAGTATCATAAGAGACCGAGTGATAGCCCGTAGTGAATCAAAATGATGCGAGTACACTCACGTCTTGTCATTTATCTTCACTGAGTCTTTTATTTATTAGTCTCACAGGATTTCTGTAGGTGTCTTGATATAATAATGACAGCTTGGACCACCAAATATTCATTTTTCTAATCATCCCCTATCATCTTCTTTTTTAGCACATTGGTACTATTCCCCAGAGTTTCATTACTCCAACTACAGGAAAACTGCTAGCGAATTAATTTACAAAAACACGGTTCCTAGTCACTCAAAACTACACTGCTACATCCATATTGGAGTTGTATCATAGTTACCCATCAGTCGACCCCAGTGTGATGTAAAACTCAGTCCTATAACTACATAGAAGGTCGCAGCTGCCTCATCTAAAACGGAGAGAAGCAGCAGCACCTGTCATTATGATTGCGGAGGTGCCAAATAATAGCAGTAGTGAACTGATCACACTAAAGCACATTTCAACTAGTGTATAGCAGTTGGAGACAATTCGATCAAACTGGTTGATGGACAATCATAGCAGTTTGTGAGAAAAAAACTTTTACTAATTATCTAAGATTACAGGTTTCATAGTTCTGAAAAAACTAAATTGAGTTAGATAGAGTGAGGCATAAAAACTAGACAAGCTCCAGATCTGGATGGTGGTGCACTAATTTCTTTTTCATCCGATAGATTCAAGCATATTCAACAGTCAGATGGCCTAAAAGCGCCATTTCACAAAATCAACTGTGAAGTGCTGTAGCAATATCTCAGTAATTTATTGGAAGGAGAGTGATACTACGTCGGCTAAGGGTATGCAGAAAATGTAGTCATTTAACTTGAAGACGCCTGCGAAATTTAACCTGAACACATTGAAAAAATACTACTAAATTCGACATGCGATTCTCCCTTATCAAATGAGAAAGGTCTGCTCAACCTCTAGTTTAAGAACATATTTTCGAATGATGAAGTATTGCCCACTTCATTTATTTCCAAAGAACTGCATCAAGATTGATTGCTGACGAGACCCCAGTATGAATGTATGTGGCTCATTTTACACTCACCAACGTCATTGTTGATGTAACAATGATTCGCGGTTACCTGTTAAAAAGGGTATTCTAAACAGGACTTCATTTCGACAAGAAAATATAGTTGTTGAAGTTCAGAAAAGCGTTAGAAAAAGATTTCAGGTTTTGAACCAAAGATGACTCCACTTGTTCACGTTAAAATGGACTTTACTGCGTTAACGATAAGTTTAGATGTAATGCAATAGGAGGAAATAACCAAATGACAACCTTATGATGCTCTATACACTGGGATGTTAGTTTCTTAGCTCCAAAACCTAATCTCATTAGTTTCGATCAAGATATTTTTGTAGTTCAACTAAGCTTCTTTAAAGTTTGTGCTTTTCAGAAATGCCGTGTGTAAACTCAGAAATGCAGCAGTTCATATTGCCATACTCCATGCAGCACACAAAGACAGAAAAGAGGAGAAAGAATTAGAAAGGACTAAAATAAGAGAAAAGTGAGGGGGGAAATTGCTAAGTAGGAAAAAATGATGGTTTAATGGATATGGGAGGTCACTAACAGTGAATGCACCTGCGCAATACCACCAATAGTATCCAGCCATTGGTTTTTAGCATACTCAGGAACCCAAACAAACGACCTGCACCTCCCTACATGGCTCAAACCCTGTCAAACTCTTCGTCGACTGATCCCAGGTTTTCGTCTGATCTTCCCTAACTCTTTTCTAACCTAACCCTATCTTAGCTAACATTTCCTCTTGTTGAGGAAGGCGATGGCTCAGAATGAGTTGAACATGTCCTAACCATCTCATTCGACGTGGCTTCACAACACCCTCGATTGATTTACACCCCTAACCTAACACTTGACGCTTACCTCAACATTACTAGCTCTATCAAAACAACTAACACGGGAGACAGAACGCAGATACTTATGAACAAAGCTGAGCCTTTCTCATCTTTCCCTTCCAATGACTATATTCCGCAAGCACATAGGAGGACAAAGGCGACCTTGGAGTAAAGGCATGGAAAAATAAATTAGTCTGTAGTATTTCCGAACCTTCGATATTTAGTTCGAATTATGTTCCTGTCAAACTTTGGCAAAAAAGACAGCAGTCACACCTAGCCACCTATTACATTTACATACACAAACGAAATCACATCACACAGTACCAGGTATATTTCCTAGCATTCCTAATTCCAGGAAAAGCGCGGTTATCCACCTAGGTCAGAAGTCTCACACGTTGCACTCTCTGGGGGGGGGGCACAAAACTGCCAGATCTAAGAGGACAAAACGACTATTTTATGCAATGATTTGAAAACACCGCAAGTCGTTATCGAGTCACAGCTAAGGCTTTTCGAATGCTATGGGCACTTTGAAGGGCTTCAAAAGATTAGACGAATGCATGTTCCAAATACTCTACGCAACATATAACAGGCCTCATCTAGAATACTGCATACAAGCGGCGAGTCCATGCTTCAGAAAGAGGCACAAATCCTGGAACGACTACAGAGAGTGGGAACGAAATTGGCTAGTGGTATCTCACACCTTCCTATTGACAGAAGCGTGGAGCATTTAAAACTCTTTCCACAATCATGCCCAAGAAGGAGAAGCGACTTAATTTTGGCTTACGTATATTAAAGAGTGATTTAGGGACTGACTTTTTAACCTTTTTCTCTCCCTCTAGGATACATTTACGAGGTCATGACCTCGTGGTGCACCACAAGGTGCTCAGACCGAGGTCGAATAAAATATCTGTGGAATTTAGATTCTCCCACAGAGTGGCCAAGGACTGGATTTCCTTACCTGGTTCAGTAGTGACAGCGCCATCGGTGAGCGTCTTTTAGGAGAAACTGGATCTCTGCAGAGATTTATGTCGCAAGGATTAACATAGGCAACAAGAGCCTTCTATCCTTATAACCTGAATCTGCATCACTTTAAGCGGTACCACCGCATTTATAGGCATTGTTTCGTGAAAAACATAGTCACAAGCTCAAACTTACTTGGTCTACTACATTATTCCCATCGCAATCGTAAGACATCACGCAGATAATATCAACACACGCGATAACAGTAGGACTAGTATCGCAAACCACCCACAAGCATTAAAACAAGGATAGCGAAAATTTCAATGTCTAATTTCTTATTCTAAAAAGTGGACAAAAGTATACCTCTTACCATAAGTTATAAAGAAAACATAGTTTTTCTTGTACGTACACACGAAAGTGTATTAATATAGGGATATTTCAAAAGAATTATTGTGGGTAGTCAACCATGTAATTTTTGACGTTTGTCGTGGTCTCTGCCTAGGTGTGCTGCCCGCTGTGAAAATAGTAATCTCCTGAATGAAAACTTTCTACGCTTTCAACCAACTGAGAAAATCTGTAACTATTGCAAGCTACACAAATGCTCCCAGGAGATCTGGTTTTTCAGTCCACTGCTGCACGAAGCACATATCAAAATAGCTGTTCATTATCTCACTACTTCTGCCCAGCACGCCAGTATGTCGTCAGAGGTGGTCACCAACTGAGAAAAAGCACGTTTTTTCAGACCGAAACTCATGAATACGTTCACTGAACTTCCGGTGAAGACACCAAACGTAATATAAATGATATAAAGTAACTTTCTACAACAAACTGTGTTTGCACATTCGCGATGTTTTTGTTTCTAGTTATACATGATTGGAATTTGAAAGTGTCCAGTGTGCAGATCTCCGTCACGAAACTCTATGACAAGATACGGATCTCTGAAAAAATATGAAGACCACCAAAATGTCCACAGATCAGACTGTTAGCCAAGAGCTTGTAAGACACATGGAATTTGGTAGAATTAACAGATCGACTGTAGGGGTAGGACTCAAGTGCATCTTCCGATCGCCGAAGTGCATCTAGGCCTCAAAATAAGGAGACAAAAGTTAATTAGCAAAACAAATTCCCAGCTCACCTTCGGAAGCATAGAACTGTTTCAACAGCGGTGTCAGCTAATAGGCATCCGGCCACGCTGTAACTCCACATATCGCCCTCCATTTGGCTGACCAACGAGGTCATCTACGGAATATCTTTTTCAGCCATACTCTTCAGATAATTCATATGAACCTGATCCCAAAACAACTCTGATGTTCGCTTGTGTGACTATACTGCCCTTCAGTTAATAAGCTGGAATAATTGAGTTCGTTCGATCCCCGTTTTGCTGTCAATTGTTAAAGGTTGAATATGCCACCGGGCGTGTTGCATTTAGTAAGGCTGTAAGAATGCAACGTGTTAACAATTTAATCAATACGTTACAACTGGTGAGACCTAGTGTCGGTTACTGAATATACTTAGCAGTTGTTTTTATCATATTTTCATTTGGTCATTAACTTTATTCTTCCTGATTTTTGCACAACAGGTAGTTTGTCTTCGCATATGGGAAGGAGTTTGAGTCAATTTATAATTATAATACTATTCTATTTAAACACTTACATTTCAGCCTTCCTATTCTAGATTACATACACTATCGTCATAGCACACCTACGTTGCCCTGCAGCGGATCCACTCATAGGAAACTCGGTCTAACTCTTTAAAATGTTACTGAAGATAGCTCAGATATTGAGGAAGACCCTTATCTAAATGTATACGGCCATCTTAATTTCGTTCTTATCAGGATACTCGCACTTGTAAACATAAGAGGTTACATGACGACTCACAGATGTTCATACTGGCCACCTAAAGCCCACCCAAATGCTTAGCCAGATGGAGCAGATATACGGTAATTTCAAAATGGATGAGTCACTTCTAAAGGGAATACAGATGCAAATATTACCTCAGATGATTCAGAAAATCCTGATGAAATACAGTACAAAAACAAATGGCTCCAAGAAAAATTAAACTTATGAAAGTATGTTGAAAAACTATAAGATTACTTGTCAATCACGTCTCATAAACCGTTAATGCCCAGCTCTCGCTACGCTCGGGCCCACGCTGTTCTTCGAAGATTTCTCAGAAACGCTTAGTTATAACGGACGCAAAAACCAAAACACTGATCTGCCGCTTTAGATTTGTTTATTGTTACACCAACATATAAAAGGAATAAGCGAACTAAGGTCTGTAAACAAATATTACAATAATAAATCGTTATATTACTTCTGACGATGTTTTACTCTTCTTTCTGAACAGCGACCGATGAGACGATGACTGTCGTATTGATGCCTCCGCGAAAATCGGGGAAGTTGATTTTGAGCAAACAACCAAGAATTGATCGTTCAATCTTCAACTCCATTGACACTCCCCGGCAAAAAAGGGATCCAACCCTTTTTTCCTTCACGACCAATGCACGTTGACTTGGATGCCATTGCGAGAACCTGGGTCACACGGACAGAGCTGAAATGGAAAACAAACAGAAAAGCCAACACACCACAAGCATACCCACAGCACAATCTCACACATCGCTGACGACCTGCGCCTCCAGACAGAGACCTCCTCTTGACATCTTGCAACACAATCGCCACTTACTAGAATGACTCTTGCAGAATGCAAAGTGACCATGGCAGCACCTCACGATACTCTACGCACATCCTCTTATCTACTCATTACCAATTACCACTGAAATCGCTTGTCACTCATTCTGCCTCAGTTCTAGTAGCGGTGACGCATGCGAGCCTCAGTCGTTTACACTCTTTCTCCCCGGCGTGTCGGACCGCAGCTAACAATTATCTCCGTGTGCATTTCATTCTCAGCAATAGCCTAGCCTCCCCGGCGTATACGACCCATCTGCTGTCTCTAACATCAATCAATTCATTCACGGATGTAGAAGACTCGAAACAACTTCAGAAGTAATCACGACGAAAATTTTAACAAAATTACGCAATAACAACAAGGTACGAAAACAACAAGTAAACACAATGAATCCAAAAACACCAATTGATATGACACACCACACGTATATACAAATAGTACAAACAACCTCGCCGATCATGTCTTGGTGGAATTCCTTTGAAGAATTGCAGGACTTACACCAGTACGCCTACAACCCTTCTCAGGTTGACGATTGTAATTTGTGGAATGTCCAGACACAAACAAGATTAACCAACAATTACAATAATTGGAACTCACACAACTATTTAACACAAACATATGTACAATCAACACATCAAATGTTGTGGATTCTGGCACCACAAACTACCCTTGAAGAACTGTAGGACTTACAGCAGTACGCCTACATTCCTTCTCAGGTTGATGATCCAAGTGGAAGTCGTCCGGACACAAACAGAATTACCAACAGCTAGATGACAGATGATATCAATTCAGTATATACAATATGAACATATGTACAAGATCATACACCAAGCACATTGGACTGCTCATTGATGCGCTACCCTTTGAAGAATTGTAGGACTTACAGCAGTACGCCTACAACCCTTCTCAGGTTGACGCCCTAGGTTGGAAAATCGTCGCAGAGTTCATTTGCTGACTTCCTTCTATCAGCTATATCCTCAAATCTGAACGGCAACACGCCCATGTCATTGTATCGTAGAATATAGATGACGAACAAACACACGACATATCTCATCAACCAAGGTAGAAACAGAGTAATTTACACCAAAGATAATAACATTCAAATAGTAACTTGAAACTAGAAATGCCTTTATTCGTGCAAGTCAATTTAACAATTACTCTCTCGTTTACACTTGGCTTATCCTCACTAAACTGAGCAATATCTTTCGTCTTTTCAAACGCACCAATACTACCATAGTCATTGCACAAGATACTTGAGTTGATGGGCATCTGTTTCATTGTGGATGAAAACACCAACGATGACTGAGTGACACAAGGTGATGAACTTAGCGGTGGATCAGAAGCTGTTCTTTTTCGGCTTTCAGATAGTTGTCCAACTGCAAGATTACCACCACTGCTGTCTTTCACTACTAGTTCGGGTTTAGCACTATCATCTGATGATAGGTGGGCTACACGCTGATCAATTACACTGACTGTCTCACAAGTATGCACACCTTCTGGAACTGCATCTGCGTTCAATTCTACTTCACGTTGTAGTTGTACAGAACCTTTATTTAACTTAGCAGTAGTAGGCATATCCCTCATCTCATAATGATCAACCAAAGACAACTGTGAAGTATCATGATCATTATCACGAATATTCACTTTACCGTCAAGTTCATCATTTTCAAACTCTTTAATAACAGAAGTAGACAATTTTGGTTCCTCCTCACAAATCATTAAAGGTTTTATATCTTCACTCTGACTAGTTATACCTTGTAAACTTGTGGAGTCAGAACTGCACTCTGAAGCAGTAACTCTATTCTGTGACACTCTATTCAACAACGGCTTACCAGTTGCAACTACAGACTTCTTCACCGCACCGTTATCGTCACACAATTCGGAGTCAGACCTGGAGTTTACATTTAGCTTATCACTGAACTTGCTCACCGGTTCACAGTTCACTTCTGTATGCACCTCTTGCACACGTGTAAACACAACCGTGTTTGTCTTGCATCTTGTAACTTATCTGTTGAGGATGTACTACGAAACCTGTTACACTCACTAGGTCTATATGCATTACTAGACATCATGGAGCTTTCTCGATATCCACCTCTCTGAGGCCTACTCGTCATCAATGATTGCATTTTGATCTCAGACTGCTCTATTCTAGGGGTGAGATGTAATAGACTGGCGAACTTGCTCATAGATTGATTGACACTAGTATTTACCAGTTTCAGGATATCATCAAACTTTGGCTCGATACCCTCATCCTCCATACGGGAGCTTATCTTCACCCACTTCCTTTGCAGTCGAGTAGGTAGACGTCTTGCTATTACTTCTAGTATAAAACTCGAGTTGAGGTCACTCATGCGATTCATCGAAATCATTCCATTCTTGTAAATTAGCAAATTATCTAAAAACTCAGTGAGTGCCTGGGAGTCATCCTGTAATTGACCACCATTACCCTTAACAGCCTCGAATAATTTCCCTGCAATCATCGAAGGTCTTCCAAACCTTTGACGTAATATGCTCATAGCCTCGTAGTAGCCCTCTTTTGGCTTCATAAA